ATCACCTAAAGGCAACCCTAAGTAGTTCAAAGGCCACCCTGAGACTTCACACCCCAGCACTTCAGCACTCTCCCTGATCTCTCCCTCCTCCAAATTCACCCCCACAACACAGCTTTTCCCAAGGTTAACCTTCAAGTTGGATATTTTTAAGGTCCTGACATCAAAGTACAACTTATCATCATGATTCATGTATCATAAGGTCCTGACACCATGTTCCATGCCTCCACATTTTTAAATATTGAAGGATCCCTCCATAAACACATTCTTTTATCATCACCTATTTTGTATTTGATAGCTTTAAGAAATGGTGTTGGTCTCTTCAATGTCTTTCTCAATTTCTTATTGCTTTATCCATTTTAGGATTTGAATTACACATGATATTCTCTTCCCTTTCAATTTATGCAAGTCTTTTAGATTATCAACAAGAGAAATTATGGAAGCGTTTCCACCCATCCCAAGACCCCAGACGGCTAGGACCAACATTGGGTAATGGCCTTTTAGTAAATTAGTGGAAGTTATAAGAGATTTTTGGGTTTCTTAAAAGTTGAAGCTAAATCAAAACTTTTTGGTGGTTTTACCAAGGCAAGCTCCTAAGAGAAAGCACTCTATGAATGCTTATTAATGCGATTTGGAGTCCAAGATGAACAACTAGATGGACACCATGGCTGGTTAGGAGCTGAAAACAGAAACTACTTGACTTGTATTATGGGCTTTATGTGGGGTATGAGAGCTAAACGAATTCAAAATGATAAACAATAGTAGTTATATAACAGATGAAGATACATGCACCTGGTCATCATGGATAAACCTATCAATCAATCAGTAATTAAAATATAAGCGATCTGAATTAATGGTAAAATCGGGTGCTTAAGTTTGATGCATGGGAACAAACCAGAACAGTGCATGGCTCGATATGTCTCTGTAATGGCACTTGTTTAAATTGTGCATCTTCCATCTCATTATTTGCTTTCCCACAGAGAGACACACCTTCCTTTCTTCCTATATCACATTATTTGGCATTACTTGGTCCCGGCCACAAATGGGTTTGCCCAATATAATTTCTTTCTGTACTATATATTATTAGTGTATTAATAATTGTCACCGAGTACTTTGGAATTGCATGGATAAGATTGTAGCACTAGTTTGTGACTTTGTTCAAGATGGCACTTGTTTAGTCTCTTGATTACAGATTGTATAACATAACAGACCCCATCAGCGCAAATTCGTATCAACAATTTGGACTATTTCTGCATGTGTAGATTGCATTTGACTTTGAGATTGTATACAACCCATGTTCTTTTTATCTAGTTATTGAGAGTTTCACTCTTCAATTATTTAATTGCAGAAGTTGTGTTGCACCCTAGCTACCAGCAGCCACGATCAAAGTCTTGCTTTCAGATATTTACAAGCTAGATGATAGATACTATTGTAACTTATATACCTTGAAAACTGAAGAATGAGAACCCAATCCATGATCCTCTTGTAAACACCTCAAATTCTGGAAGAATGAGAACCCAATCCATGATCCTTTTCCTGCTAAGTAGAATGATATGGGTCATTAAATGGGGTTCTTCTCCTGTCTCTTCTCATAATAAAGCCCAAATTGGAAGGGGAAATTAGAAAAACATTTTTTTGTTTGATATTTTTTTTATGATCGGTAACTAATAAAAGGAGAGATGAAAATGATGTTTGTATTAGACATTTATCATTAATTTGTTGAATGTTGAGTTGAAGGCGCCTGAAGACAGTACTAAATTAGTTCATCATCTGTCAAATATGGAAAAGAGCAACCTTCCGTGTTGCAGCTGAACTAGGAAGTGATTGCCTTGGAGCATATGTGATTTCCATGGCCTCTAATGTATGTGTTGACCATTGGTGTTAAATTTTTGGTTTTGTGGCTGGGAGAAAACTGATAGCTACATGTAACAAGGATTTCTTCAATAAGTCGTTCAGTTCAGCCAGTTCAGCTCTGCCCAGTTTTTATTTTTTATAATTTATTAATGAATCTGTTATTTTTTATATTTGTTTAATGGTAGGAATAGTTGAAAAACCATTGGGTAGCAAGACATAGTTGTATTTGCATTGATGAAAATGCCAAACATCCACAAAAATTGTATTCTTATTTGCATCTTTGAAAACAAATATGCTGAGTGCAAAGTGGGTGTGTAAATCTTGAACCACTTTACACTCACATGAACCAAACACTTTTTATTTGCACTCTACAAATTTGTATTCATACTCCTTCCAAACAGAGCCAAAAGACAGACTTAAGTCATGTATGTACCAGTAGAATTACAAACTAGGCTATTCATAATCTTATTTGTGAATGTTATACTCATTAAATACAGTGAATCCCTTATGCCTTTTGTATTTTGCAGGGTTTCTTCTCTTTGCTTGGTTCCAGGTGGTTACAGCCAAGTAGCCAACTGGTGTAGAGAGCCTTTTTCAGACCTTTCTTCTTCCTAAAAAGCAAAGAGGTAGGGTCATGTGGAGATGTGGAGATGCGTCAATGGAACTTTGTGGTTAGTGCGAGAAGAGTAACTTATTGGGTACAAAACAAACTAAGGAGGAGTTTTTAAGCTTCATCGGGGGGCGGCTGTGTCTTCTACATAGGGTTGCTCAGCAAAAACCGAATCAAACTGGGGAAACCAAACCAAAAAACTGGTTTGCAAAAAACGGTGGTACCAGTTTGGTTTTGGTTAACCTAGGAGAAAAATTGGCAGTTAACTGAACCGACCAGTATATATTATTTATATAATATGTACACTTGTAGTGTTTATAATATAATATATTATATGTATTTATAGTACTATAAATATTGTTGCTAGATTGTGACAACAAATTTTCTTCAGCAACAGGACCGTCAACACTCACATTGTCTTCTTGTTGTTCCTTCCTCAATTGGGAACCCGAAGCTTTAGCTTGCATCGTTGACCCCTTAAGATCAGATCCAGCAGGCCCAATGCCTTTCTTACCTTTTCTCCTATAGACCCATTTATAATTCTTTGTTGGGCCTGTTCCAACCAAACCAAGCTTCAATCTAGAAAAGATTTTCGTCACATGCACGACATTATGATTTCTTAAACTATGCAGTTTTTTGACAGTTACCTCAAAAGGTGCCTCCTTCTCCTTGATGTTGCTTCTTCGACCCAGATCTACACCCAGCCTCCCAATCATAGTTGTCAAGGTGATGCCTAGGCGACAAGGCGTTCTTTGAAGCTCGCCTTGCCTAATCACCAAGTAGTTTTCTACTTCCTACTATAAAATACTTTTTTATTCATTCTTTTTTTTGAGATTATAATTATAAAATATACATTATTAAATTAAAATAACCATCTTATGTGTTTATATACTAATTTCTTTTTATTATTTTCTTATTTATTAGGACTTAATCAACACAAACATTGTTGAGTGTTGTATTGAACCCTCAAAGACTTAAAAACCTGAACCAATGAGGAAAAACTTAAAATTTTATCTAGTCAGCACATTTTCCTCTTCCATATATTCTTCTTCTTCTACTACTACTACTACTACCAATACTTTTTATTTTCTTCTTTTCTATAACAAAAATAAGGGTTCAGCCCCTATATTTTTTGACTTTTATTTTCCTTCTTCCTTTTCATGAATATGTTGATTTTCTATACTTTAATATGAAATTTATACTTTTCTTATGAAAATCATGAATAATTATTAAAGAAATATGGTTATGGTTCCTAGGGAACTACCCTGGGATCTATGTTTTTTAACATAAAAAAAACCCATCGTCTAGGCGACTAGGCAACAGGGCGCCCCCCAGTCAACTAGCCTCACCTTGGCACCTTGAAAACTATGCTCCCAACCTTCATTTCCTTAAAGCAAAAATTGTCTTCCAAATGACTTTCCTCCTCACTGCTAACAATGCCGCCACAATCTGTAATCTCCTCTTCTCCGGTCATGTTGTCAGCCTCAGAACCAGCGTCCGAATTGGTGAGTCCATTCCCATCCTCCTTCAAAAGCTCCTCCAACTTCCCAAACCCCTTAGGAACAAACTCCTCAGTACCCAAAGAAACTGGGGTTCTGATTTCATAACCAGAATCTTGAGAAATCGCATCTCCAATCCTAGACTCGGAAGGGGAGCAAATCGCTACAGGCACACTATCAGCCTGTGAGCAGCAGCCGACTCTCCTTGAAAGAGTCCTGATCATCAATGATACTAAACCCTGTTCCTCCGACCAAACTCTTCTTACCACATTTATCATACCTAGCGAGCACCCAAACCCATCTCTCCTCCCTTTTCTTTCCAGCTTTCGACACGATAAACCTTCCAAACGTCCTGCACCATTTAAATCTTGATCTGTTGGGGCCTAAGACGTCTTGTCCTTTTTACCTTTCCTAAATCAACTAACCTTCTTGCTATCTAAGCAAAACTTTCTCTTCATTCACTAGTAGACCATCACCAGAATCTTCAACCACTGCCTCTCCTTTGATCTTCCAGCCAAAGGGCACATCCTGTGGCACCATGTTCATAGTCCCCTCTTCAGAATTTTCGACTTCTTCAAACCTAATCAACTGTTTCTACATTCCTCCCACACCAGTCTTACTACTTCTAGGATGGTGATGAACTTTGGTCTTGTTGATGCAAATTTGGAAGCAAAGAAAGTAATGGAAGTCAAGAGTTCAAATGGCAACCTGCAGAGTGCATCACCAACCAGAAAAGAAGTGACTGTTTGACCAGTCAAACTGTGTTTGATCTGGCTGAAACTTGGTGGCATTTAAGTAAACTTGTAGTACTCCAATACTCTAGAATTTCAGTTCAAACCAACATGTGGGGTGCCCCAACTAAAGACTTAGCTGATTTTTAGGTTCTGCAAGTTCTGGTAGTCAACAAGTTGACTAATATTTATAGTAATTCTCGTCATTACTATTTATAGTAGAGGAGGACTTACTATTTTAGTATTTTCTAATTTCTTATATTTAGTTGAACTAAGGAGTTACAATGCCCTAGTTTGAAAAGTATATACTTTTTGTAATTATCAAAAAAAAAAAAGTATATACTTTTTGTTTGAATGAATACAAGTGGGAGTTAGAGGCTTGAGTCCAAATAGGAATTGGCAGATAGGAGTAGAGAACAATCTTTTCCATTCAATTGAATACAGAATTTTTTTTCCTGTTTCTTCCATATCTAGCAACTACAGTAAAACTTTTTTTTTTGATAACAGGATAAAATTATATTCAAAGCCCAATTGGGGATGACATTTAGGTCATCAGAATGTACTTAATCCCACATGTTTTTAATTAATGAATTAATCTTTATTGATGACCCTAATGAATCGATCCTCCCTTAAGGGAAAACCGATTGCTGTTTTCTTTACCCCTTCTCCCTCCAATCTGGATTTGCTTGGAATCTGGATCTTCACAAAAATGTGAGGGATTCTGAGCTGGGTTCGGTGTCTTCTTTTCTTTAGCTGGTTTAGGGTGTTTCTTGACACTTTTAAACAATATACTAGGCTATGGATCCCTCATCCCTTTGGAGATTTCAGTTGTGCTTCTTTCTTTAAAACCTTGTACTCTCCTACTCAACCTGGGGTACATTTCCCAGTCCAAGAAGTTTGGTGTCGCCCTATTCCCCCTAAAGTGGGTGCTTTTTGTTGGAAGGTCTACCATGGTGCAATTAACACCAGTGATCTGATACAGAGGAAGAGGCCTGATTGTGCCTTTCCCCTAATTGGTGTTGTTTGTGCGAGTCAAGTGGTGATGCAACTTTTCATATTTTGTCTCCTATCCTATTGCTAGTTGTATTTGGGATTGATTCTTTTTTCTCTTTGGATGTAGGTGGTGTTAGACAGTATATGCCCTTAGCTCCAATCAGATTGATGTACTTTTGACATTTATTATCAATGAATAATAGTACATAATTGATTCATGTTATATTTGGTGTGTTTTTGTGTGATACCCTTAAACTGGACACTTATGAGACTCATGTTAGTTTAGAATCTTCATAGCCATTGGATAGACCTGTGGAGGTTTATCTTGCCAAGGTAAGAGGAGGGGCCCTATAGAAAGGGTTGGTCAATTCACCTAGTTAAGAAGGAAAACTGATCTTAAGAAGTTCAAGGATAGAGGAAGCGGAGGACGCATAGGCAAGAGGAGGGGTTCCTACTTGCAGTTCGCCAACACCACTATTGCCACATCTGGATTTGAATCTCAACCATTTTTTCTTTAGTTTTAGAATTACTTTCTGTTTTTTAATTTCCAGTTCATTTTTCCTTCCTACAAATTTTACTTTTATTAGATTTAATTTGTACTTTATTTCTTTTCTACAGATCTGAAATTCGGCCAGGTAAGACGGAAGGCCTAGCTCGAGAAGTTCGAGGGTCGAAGAAGAGATCCGGAGAGTGCTACTTCTGGTCGGATTCTTTGACATTTTTTATTATGTTTCTTTTAGTTATTTATTTGTGTTATTTATTTATTTTTATGCACTTGTTATTCTCAGTACTGCTCGAATTTGGTTTTAATGAATTCTATTTTATTAATTAATTAATTTTATATTTTTGCAACTCTCATTTGTGTTCTCTCTCCCATATCTAAGTACGTAATTATATTTCCCCTGCTTCCCTGTAGATACGACCCATTCTCATCACTTTATTGCATTAGTAGTTGTTTGAGAATCAGAATAAAATTATAAATGTTTAAACCGATGTTCCGAAGTGGTTAACGACGCACTTTCGGCAACACCAAGTTTTTGGCGTCGTTGTCGTGGAAGCACAAAGAAAATTTTTTATTTGCTTTATCCGGATTTGTTTCATTATTATTTTATTTTCGTTTTATTACTTGATTTGTTATCTCAGTTTAATTCTTCTTTCTCTTTGATTGTGCAGGATGGAATAGCGAAAGGTGGGGTACCGGAGCATTGCGGGACTACGGGACGGAAGAGAAGAGAAGAGAAATTAGATTGCGTTTCAGGTGTAGTCGTTCCATCCTATTTTTTATTTATTTTTTATTTTTATTTTTATTTTTGAACTCTTTTTTTTCAATTAAATAGTGATTTTCGAATTTTTTAATTAATTTTTTTAGATCCAATTTTTTTTAGTATTATTTTGCTTCCATTTTGTTTCTAGATCTATTCTTCTTTCTTTATTTTAATTTCTTCTACCTCATAGGGTAGGGCTCTATGAGGTCAGAAATAATATAGAGTCCGAGGCAAAAATGGATTTGAATGTCATTTCTAGAAAGTTGGATAGGGTAGACCTTCTAGCCCAGAAACTCGACCAGTTTTTCACTCTTAACTAGCAATCGGGCCCATCTACCTCTTATCCCGAAATATGTTTCATTTGTGCAAATCCGGCCCACCAGGTTGATGACTGTCCTACTGCGGCCCAATTTCCATCTTTTAATCCAAGAACAAGTTCAGGTGGCCCAGAGTTTCTCAAGGCTTAATAATGATCCATATTCTAGTACTTATAACCCTGGGTGGAGAAACCATCCTAACTTTTCTTGGAGGACACATCAATCCATTGTACAGTCCCATCAGCATCCGTCCAACTTCATGGCTCAACAGTTTTAGAGGCCAGTAGTACAAAACCAATTCCAGCAAGTGTACCTTAGGAGTCAACCGGCCCAACCATATCAGAGCTACCCACAACCCCCTTAATCCCGATCAGTAGACGATCAATTTATGCAGTTGTAGCTGTTGATCCTAAATCAACAGCAGTCCATTGCTAGGTTAGAAAACCAAATAGGACAACTAGCCAA